CCAAGAGTGTTTATGCAGAAGACGTTTTTTATTTCCATATCTCCTCTGAAGGGCTAGACTGCAAAGACTCACAGTGCTCACAGATACTGCAGGCAGAAGCAGGAAAGGTATGGAGAAAATTTTGTTCAGCAGATGTATTTACTTGGAGGAACTGCTTGGCTGGTGGGCCAAAACCAGAAATGACCATTTTTGGAGGGTTCTCAACTTCTCTCAGGGCTAATCAAGAAAGTATGGGACCTGACAAGGGCTGACAAAAGGAAAGGAAGGGACAAAATAGAGAAGGAAAGACATAAAGAGCACCCCTAAAAATGAGTGTGGGTAAGGCTAGTATGTGATATCGAGGCTTGCTGCTTAGGTGAAGAATCTGTTGAAATGTTAGGTATTCTAGAAAAAAACAAATCCTAGCTGTGTCAGGTTGGGCATCCAAATTAGTAAACAATTTAGGTTTTAAGTTTTCAGTTTCTGCTCACTGCCTGTGTAACGGGCAACATACTCCCACAGGAATACTGTGAAGATAAAATTCATCAGTGCCTGTGAAAAGCTTAAGATTTGGTAGTGACGAGCCTCAGAGAAAAGCTCATGAGGAGATGAATCTTTTTGTCTTCAGAGTAGGGTTGGAACTGCTTATAATAAATGAAGTACGGAGCTAACTGTTAGGAAATGATAAGAAAAAGCAGTGTCTGTAACCGTGCAGTCAATGCTCCTTGGGAAGCGGGCTCCTGTAGAAACGTCAGCATGTAACCAGGTAATTAAAGCAGGCACAGCATGTATATACAAAGAGCTGAAACAAGTTCCATGTGTAAACTTAGCTTTGATGTTTCTAATGTTCAGGTTCTTGACTTTGCAACCTTAATATCCTTCTCCTTCTGTAGCATTACAGAGGTGGACTTATTAGCTGCAAAGGAAGAGGCGGCTGCAGTTTCCATTAGGGTACGTGGGTAGCTTCCTCTCCTTTCCCTTAGATCCTGACTTAGTAGCATGAGGTAGGCTTGACAGCTATTACTTATTTGCTGAATGACACACATGTTAATATCCACACTCAGAGGGATGAGGCTTGTCTTTAAGCCAAGGTTTTCTTTTTTTGCAGTAGCACTTCATGATCTCATACGTTGATTGGCTTTTTGCAATCATCCTAGGTTTTCCTGCAGCATTAATAGTTTTCCAATTTACTTCCTTGATTTGTTTTCTCTATTTTGGATTATTTGTCCAGCCAGATTTACTAATCCGCAGTTTTTCAAACTGAAATCTCAATTAGTTAAAAATCCAGGTCCTACAGTTACCTTTGTTACCTTTGTAGTTACCTCCTTGCCCCCTCTGCCCCAAAATATCTGTAATAGATTTCTGAGGCCACAGATCTTCGAAGCACTGGAAAAGTAAAAAAACCCTCAACCTATAAATAAGTTACTTTGAATCAGAGAAGCGAAACTCCTTACATACCTTTCTTAATGAGTGACTAAAAAAACCCCAAACCCACACTGACATCTTGTTTGCTCTTCATTTTATCCTGCTTCTGTAGCATACTCAATTGGTGTGATGACTACTTAAAGGTATTTCAGAGATCTAGTTTACAGTCTAGCCACATGCGCCTTACAGGCATGGGTGTGAATCTTGATGAAGTTAGAAAACTAGTCAGTCTAGTGGAAAACTATTAAACTCCTAAGTACTATGTTAGATTTCTACACTTGCGAGAAATCTAAAAAATGTAATATCTATCGTGATTTTTCTAATCACAGCAAATAAAATTATGGTGAGATACCTTAACATATAATGTCAAAGGACACAGAATTATTACTGAGGTGATTGAATCCTAATTTCTAGATAAAGTGTGCACATGCCAGTTATTTGAAAAGCTTCCAGGAAGAGCATAGCAGAATAGGAATACCACAAGGAACTGGAAAGGCAGTAAGGATGTAATGATAATGCAATCCCCAAAAACGTAGATGCCAGAAAACTGTACTTCTGGATAGAAAATGCTTGCATATTTTGAATATGCTTTCAGTTTTTTACTCTGCATTTTTAAATCTTAAAAATACCTTTGAATGTCATTTAGAGATATACTGAACAGCAGTGGGCTGAGCTTAGGAGTACAGGAAAAATGTGAACAGAGTGTATTTCATCTCATAGTCACTGCAGACAACCTAAGTGTCACAGCTATTCCTGTTGGGAATAGGGAAACATGGATATGCCGGAAAATGTCCCGTTCCCATGAAACTTAAAAATGTTATCCAACCTCGTAAATGACAAGCAAGTTATTACTGCTTCTAGTAACAGTGACACTGTAGCTATGTTGGTATCAAAGCACATCTTTTACTAGAGTAGCAGACAACTTTTCCTAACCTGAGGAAATACGGGAAAGCTTGGCTGTTCCTATTCCATCTGCTTCTATACATGTAAGAAGAGATATTGTCACTTTCATTGGAATTTTTGTTCCTAAATCTCCTCTATTTGATAACTTCTTTGTCATTTGCAATCAGTAACTTGGAGTTCCCGTGCTTCAACACAAATTTAGCTCTTCTGAGTGGGAGATTTACAAGGTCTCACTCAAAGCACTGGAGGCACGAAATACCCTCAGATGTTGGCAGGGACAATGGGCATTATCTCTTCACTCAGCAGTCCACATCTCCAAGGAGAAAGCTCTCCACAATTTCTTAGGCCTTGAGCTTGAGCACTACAGATAAAATTATGCACAGCACTTCTTACATGTTTCCAAGACAATGTGGATTTCTGTTTCCATATTTACAACTTTCTCATGATGTGATTGGGAAGAGGCTGAAGGAAAACAATGTGTTAAGACCATATTCTTTCCGTTTAGTCTTTACTAGTCACTCTGCAAACAGTAGAGAGGTGCCACCCTTGCCTCAAAGGGCGTATAGTCTGTAGAAACACTCATTCTTCCTACGCGAAGAGTGCTGCTCCCATCAGACACAGTTTAGAAATTAACTTCAACACAGCAAACATTAACAAAGTGCTCACAAAGCACAAACACGCTGGGTGGATGACACCTGTCTGTACCTTATCAACATGGAAAATCAAGATACTTTTAAAAACTTGTTTTCAGCGTAGCAGAAAGAGGAATAACAGTTTGAATCAAGAGTAAGCGTCCTCAGTAACGCTTACTGTATAGGCCCTGTTGACATCTGACTTGACCTTTTTTAAAATGAGTGTTACAATTTAATAATCCTGGAAGAACTTAACGCTATTTGTGAGCTAACTCACAAATGGGGGGGGAGAAGGGGAAGAGAAGCCGTTCAGAAATAGTAAGTCAGGGAATGGGTCTGCAAATACTTCATTTGCACAAGACATGTTACTTTAGTGATTGTGACTACTACTGCACCCGACTAAACGACTGCTCTGCAGCAAGAGTGGGGCATAATACTTCTAACCCTCGCTCCCTAAGGAACACCTCGTCTTCAACAGCGTGATAGGCGGAGTGCCCTCACAGAAAAACAGTCCTGAATTCAACGACTGATGTGAAATGGAAGCCAGAATTTCCTGCGCCTCCTTCTCCCGCTGCGGCGCAAAGCCCGCGGCGGAGGGCCGCCACCGTGCGCGGGTCAGCCTCGCAGCCCCGGGAAGACAGCGTGAAAACGCCCCGCAACGCTTCGGGGGGAAAAACGAGCTGGGAACGGCAGGGCGAGGAGCGG